TTGGTTGACACCCAATAGGGACTCTAATGAGGCCTTTAAAGACCAGGCAACTACAGTAGTCCAAATGGCGGAAGAGGCTGAAATTTCGCTATACCATAGGTTAGCATTCTCCGCCAAACATATTCTTGGCCTCATCAAGCTATAAGTGAGTCGTCATTTTGTCATACAATTGCACCTAACCATCACGGTCCTCCTGGCCTTAAACCCCTGGCGAAGGTGAATTTGAACATAATACAAGTCCAGCATTTCAACTAACATAGGCTTTTTTTCATAAATTCATATATCAAGTCATAGTTTTCGAGGGGACCTGGTAGTTTGCATTATGTGAGATTATGTGCGAGTTTATGAAACCTTAGACAGAATATATCAGCAAGCCTGTCGAGTGTCTTCGAGTGCGTATGTATACATGAAAGTTTATATGTATATATATATATATATATATATATATGGAAATATAGATATTGGCGGGAATTCTGCATGCAGATGGGTCAAAAATAAGCAGATTCAGGTAATTCACATGTGACCTCGAAAATCGACAATGGCTCAACGCCTTCTATAGACAGTTCTATTAGAACATATATGTGCGTCTGCTTGTGTGCGCATGCGTGTTCCCGCGTATGCTGTGGGCAAGTTTTATATACAGAAGCATAGAGATATAGGCCTCGACTAGGAGGGTGTATCTGCTGCCAGCGTAATTGTGCAGATGCGAATACTTTTGTGTCAATAGGCCGAGCAAGTTGGCGTGCGATTGTGTCGTCTATCCGAGTTGGTGAAAGTCTGTCGGTTTGACGAGACCAGCAGCCGCCATGCCAGCGGCGGCAGAAAGAAACGGATTCACCAGCAGACTCTGGCCGGCCGCAGAGACGGGCGCGTGCAGACCTGCGCCAAGACCGGCCTGGTTGCTGGCCGCGAGCCCGGCACCGCCGCTGCCGCCGGCCATAGCAGCGGCAGCGGCCGCAGCAACTGCCATCGCAGAAAGGGCGTCGACAGCTGCGACCGCCGCCGTGTTGGTCGTCACCGGACTGCCGGCCAGCGAGAGCGCGGCAGAAGAGGTGGACGCGGAGGTGGAGGAGAAGGAGGAGGAGGAGGAAGATGAGGAGGAAGATGAGGAAGAGGATGAGGAGGAAGAAGAGGAAGAGGAAGAGGAGGAGGAGGAGGAGGGGGAGGCGGAGGATGCTGGTGGGGGTGGAATGCCCGTGAGACCGGGTGGCAGTGGCAGGACGGAAGAGAGGCCGGAGACAAAGTGGGACGGAGCCGAATGGCCGGATAGAGACGTCGTGGCGCCGGAGGAGGCGAGTCCGGCGAAGGGAGACGAAGAAGTCGGCTGAAGGGTCTGCGAGAGGCCGGGCGGAGGGGTGCCGCCAGACAGGCTGATGCGCTGGTGAGGCTGGCGTCCGGTGGCCTGATGAGCAAAGGTGTGCTGTGAATGCAGGCCGGAGTGGGCATGAATGTGCGCTTGATTGGTGTTGGGCGTGTGACTGTGGGCGAGAGGGAGATGAGCCTGCTGATGCTGATGCTGGTGTTGGTGATGGTGTTGGTGTTGGTGATGGGTGTTGTGGTTGAGAGTGTGAGCATGTGCATGTGCATGTGTGTGTGCGTGGGCGTGAAAGGCACCAGTCGTGGGACTGAGTAGTCCGGGTCCCGGAGAACCGATGCTGGGCGCCGCTGAGCCGATGCCGGAACCGCCGACAAAGCCGGACGACACAGCAGCCGAGGCTGAGAAGAGAGGCGACAGCAGAAATGGCGGAGGCGCAAGCGGGGCCTGTGAAGACGGCAGACTCGTGACGGTCGACATGGCAACAGGCGCGGTCGTCGTGGCATGGGGCGAGAGAGAGAGACAGGCGGCAGACGAGGGCAAGTGGCCCGGAGAGGTGGGCCCACTCACGTCTTGGCCCGATGTCGCCGAGACGACATGGCCCAACTGTTGTGAGGGTGTTTTAGATCTGGCCCCACTGCTGGTGCTACTGCCCGAGGGACTGCAACTGCGTCCGCCCAACAGACCGGTTGCATGTGACGGCGACATCGACGTGTGGCCGAGGCCAGAGGCAACCTTTGCGGTTGAACCGGTCGTTGGGCTGCCAGCGCCGCCATTTGTCGTGCTGCCGCTGGTGCCGGTCGGTGAAGCGATCTGATCGGAAGAGTTGACCGTCTTGAAGACGCCCGACTGCAGCACCAACCGGCCCTGCATCAATGGCTTGACATAGCGCCGGCGAGCATTAATAAACCAATTGTTGACGGTGGTCCGTGAAAGGCCCGTCTCCATGGCCAACATCATCTTCTCCTCCTCTGAAGGGTAGGGTTCACGAAGATGGTCCACCAGCCAGCCGAAGAGACGTTTCCTGGCCGGAAAGGGCAGGTTGGTACGCGACAGGCCGACGGCACGACGAATGGAGAAGAGACCTCCAGAACTGCCGGCTGAACGGAGGAAAAGAGAAGACGATACCTAAATTTACTGAGGCAGAGTTATATGCAGTCACCCTAGGTTGCATAAGACGACAATTTCGAAACCTATTTTTGTATGAGTGGCTTGACCTCGTTGTGGCAACTTGGTCTTGTTGTCAGGCTGACATAGTTGGACACTCTTTGTTCGAATTCCTCTGCTATTGTAGGTATCGTAATTCCCAGCGTCGGACCGTGGACTTGGTCCGCTGACTACGATGCCGGCGAAACGTTTGAGAATGTACCAAATCTACTGTCTGATGCTGGGAATTATGATAACTATAATGACAAAAGACTTCGTACTAGGTGCGCTCTACATAGTCTCCAGGACAACAAGACCAAGTTGCGACAACGAGATCAACCCACTTCAAGGATGATAAAGTTTTTATTAAGTAGTTACTCTTATTTTTATTCATATAAAAGTAGATATGAAGACCAAGATGGTGTGGCCTCTGGCATGGTCGCAGTCTCCTTTCGATTTATAGAAGTGGTTTGACCTCGTTGTCTCAACTTGATCTTGTTGTCAAGGTGACTTAATAGAACGCTTCTAGTCCGAAGTCGTCTGCCAAAGTTGTTGTCATAATTCCCAGCATCAGCAGTGGACTTGGTACATTCTCAAATGTTTCGCCGACATCGTAGTTGTCATAATTCCAAACATCAGCCGGTGGACTTGGTATATTCTCAAGCGTTTCGCTAAGATCATAGTCGGCATCATCAGTGAGTGCTACCATTCTTCGCACCAAGCCAAGAACTCGTCAAATAATGATAACACTCACTGATGATGCCGACTATGATCTTGGCGAAACGCTTGAGAATATACCAAGTCCACCGGCTGATGTTTGGAATTATGACAACTACTATGGCAGATGACTTCGGACTAGGTGCGTTCTACTAAATCCCCCTGACAACAAGACCAAGTTGCGACGAGGTCAACCCAC